AATGTCTGTATTTTTCTTTATTGCGTTATAATGTATGGTAGACTACACAAATTTTAGGGATGAATATTTTTTTCATTTGGATATACACTCTTGTGATCACCAGCCAGAACTTTAAACCTTCTTTTAAAACAATGTATTTATAGCATAAAGCGCAGAGTGAACTAATTTTAAGTGTACTGCTCCACACTCATCTAAGTTTTAAAAAGTATTTACATCAGATAACATGATACTGTACACAGAGAACCCTAAAGATTCCACCAAAAACTACTAGAACTGATCAATGAATTCAGTGAAGTAGCAGGATACAAAATAAATATCCAGAAATCAGCTGCATTATTTTTTCAAGGATATTTTTCCATTGACTTTTTTAGAGAGAGTGGAAGGGAGCGGTAGAGACACAGAGAGAGAAATATTGATGTTGGTTGCCTCCTGCACAATCCCCAACCGAAGCTGGGGATGGAGCCTGCAACCGAGGTACATGCCCTTGACTGGAATGGAACCTGGGACCCTTCAGTCAGCTGCCAGATGCTCCATCCGCCAAGCCAAACCAGCTAGGGCTCATTTGCATTTTTATACACCAAAAGTGAACTATCAGAAAGGGAGACTAAGAAAACAATCCCACTTAAAATTGCATAAAAAAATATAGCCCTAACCGGTTTGGCTCAGAGGATAGAGCGTAGGCCTGCAGACTAAAGGGTCCTGGGTTCAATTCCAGTCAAGGGTATGGACCTCTGTTGCAGGCTCCTCCCACTGGGGTACTAGTTGGGACTGCAGGAGGCAATCAATTGATGTATTTCTCTCACATCAATATTTCTCTCTGTCTTCCCTCGTTTCCACTCTCTAAAAATCAATGAAGAAATTTCCTTAGGTGAGAATTTAAAAAAAAATTAAAATTAAAAATAAATAAAATAGCTTGGCTATTTTAGAGCATCGGCCCACCAACTGAAGGGTATCAGGTTCGATTCCTAGTCAAGGACACATACCTCGTTGGAGGCTCCATCCCCCAGGGAGTGTGCGGGAGGCAACCAATCGATGTGTCTCTCTCACACTGATGTTTCTCTCTCTCTCTCTCTCTCTCTCTCTCCCCCCTTCCTTTCATTCTCTATTAAAAAAAAAAAAAATCAGTGTGCGTATGTTCCCAGACCATGTGCATGCACATCCTTCTGCAGAAGTAAAGATATTTGCCTTCCTGAAAAACAAATTAATTAAATAAATAAATTAAATTAATGGGGAAAATATCCTCGGGTGAGGATTTAAAAAATAAAAATAAAATACCTAAGAATAAATTTAACCAGGAATGCAAAAGACCTGTACTTGGAAAATTATTAAGACACTGAAGAAATATTTTTCTTTTTTAATCTTCACATGAGGATATGTTTTCATTGATTTTTAGGGAGAAAGGAAGAGAGAAAGGGAAAGAGAGAGAAAATTTGATGAGAGAGAAACACATCATTGATCGGCTGAGCTGCCCACAACCCAGGCATGTGCCCTTGACTGGAATTGATCCTGGAACACTTTAGCTCACAGGCCAGTGCTCTGTCCACTGAACCAAACTGGGAGCCAAACCAGCTAAGGCTAAAAAAATAAATTGAAGATACAAATAAGTGGAAGCATATACTGTGTTCATGGATAGAAAGACTTTACATCATTAAAATGTACCCAAAGAAATCTATAGATTCAATGCAATTCTTATAAAGATATTAATGGTGTATTTCACAGAACTAAAACAGATATTCCAAAAAACTTATATAGAACCACAAAGACCCCAAATGGCCTCAGCAATCTTGAGAAAGAAGAACAAAGCTGGAGGAATCATGCCAATTGATACCAAACTATGCTACAAGGCCATAATCAAAATAGCATGGTACTGGCATAAAAACAGACATATATTAGCCCAGAAATACACCCACACCTTTATTGTCAATTAATCTATGACAAAGGAGGCAAGAACATACAATGGGGTAAGGACACTATCCTGTATAATAAAACCCTAATATGCAAATTGACCAAACAGCAGAACAACCGATCACTATGATGCACACTGACCACCAGGGGGCAGATGCTCAATGCAGGAGCTGCTCCCTGGTGGTCAGTGCACTCCCACAGAGGGAGCGCCACTCAGCCAGAAGCCGGGCTCACAGCTGGCGAGCACAATAGCAGTGGTGGGAGCCTCTCCCGCCTCAGTGGCAGCACTAAGGACCCCTCAGGGGATGTCCTCCAAGTGATTCCAGACTGAAAGAGGGCACAGGCTGGGCTGAGGGACACCCCCGACCCCCAGTGCACGAATGTTGTGCAACAGTCATCTAGTATTCAATAAGTGGTTTGGGGGAAATTGGACAAATACATGCGAAAAAATGAAACTAGACCACCTTCTTATACCATACATAAGAATAAACTTAAAGTGGATTAAAGGCATATATTAGACTCAAAAGCATAAAAATCCAAGAAGAAAACATAGGCAGCCCTAGAGTTCAGTTAGATTATCATCCTGATACACCCAAGGTTTCGGGCGCAACCCCAGGTCAGACCACATACAAGAATTAACCAATCCTATATAATAAAGAGCTAATATGCAAACAGCCATCACACCATCACGCTGGAACAGCTCAGACACTCAACACTGGGAGAGAGGAATGGGGACCTGCCAGGCACAAATGAGCTCGCGAGAGAGAAATGGGGACTAGCCAGGCAGGGAGAGAGACAAGCCGCCTGCCCCACGGTCCCAGGGGCCAGTGGCTGTGCCTGTGCCTGTGGCCCGGGAGAGGGACAAGTCACCCACTCCACAGTCCCAGGCACCTGTGGCTGTGGCCCAGGCAAAGCCACCCGCCCACGATCCCCTGAGGCTGCAGCTGGCCCGGGGCCTGGGTGCCTGCAGCTGGCCAGAGGGAGGGAAACCTGGGTCCCAGTTGCAGGGGAGGCAGAGGTGGTTAGGGGCTCAAGAAGTGAACGAGTGAGACACGTGATGCTGGGCTGATGTTGAGGCGTTCACTGTGACGTTCGCTGCACCAACTAGCGGTGGGGTATCTGAAGCTGGCTCGTAACCCGATTTTTAGCTCACAACTCAAAGCAAAAAATCGGCCAAGAGACGGCTCATATCTCGAAAAACTCGTTAGTCGGGACAGTCCTGTAAGTCAAGGCCCCACTGTATATGTATATGTATGTACACACACATAAACTTTACAGATGCAGCATTCCCCCCCTGCTTTAGTATTGCTTTGTACACATTTTGTCATGTTACTAAACTGATTGTTGTTGGTGTTCTTAATCCAGGTATAATTTAATTGATAGTTTTTAATACCATATACAGTTGTGTAACCATCACCACATTTAAGATATGAAACAGCTGCATTACCCTCTTTGTAGTCAACAGGGTTGTTCCAATGGTTCCTCAAAGGGGTTCTTTGCCTTAAAGGGAGAGAAAGTTGATCCCTAACAAAGAAAAGCACATCTAATCACGAAATCGGCACCAAGAACCTTGGCTTTCACTTTCTGTGCAAGGGGGTAAAGAGTGCAACCGGTGAGGGTTCACAGATGTCTAACTTGTGCGGAGCTCTGCAAATGGTTCATTGCCTGGGGTCTCCAACAGTGGATGTGGAGCCTATTTCTTTTATTTCATTAAACTGCAGTAACTAAAGAGGAAAGACTGAAACATTTAAATCACTGATATTAGAAAGATGAGATATCCATAGATCCAGATATTGAAGCAATGAAGCATAGTAACGTTCATCTCAGGTAAAAACTGCTGTTTAATTTTTAACCCTGATGTTCTGGCTTCTGTTATTATTTGCTTGCTAAAATAATAGACAAGTTGTTTTAATCTCCTGAACTTATATAAATCACCCCATTCAATTGTATACCCCATTGATTGTGGTTTTACTGGTCTTTCAAAACACATTCCTCTGAGCCTGGAGACCAGGACAGCACAATTGCTTTAATTGTTTCAGTGGCTTCAGAAAATGTGTTTTCTGTTGACTCAGTGGCTCCAAGACCTAAAACTATAATTAATCTTTGTAGATAACTAACTTGCTCAATTTAGTTTCTGTAACAAACTGCTTTTGCAAACCTTGTTCCTCATTCCAAACCTAGAGATGTAATCGATACCTTTGTGATATAAGCCTGATGTTACCGCCATGCAGGGCTATGAGATTTGGAGAGCATTTGCCCCTCGCAGTCGCTGGCTTTGAAATAAATGTGGCTCCTTAATTCAACATCTTGAGGCATCCTTGTGTGATTTGCAGGGTACACTACAACAATATAACCTGGACAGTGGCAAAAACAATACAGAAACCCGGGGACAACGGGTCTTTCTGGAAAGAACTAGAGGCTGTGTCCCATCCCCTGAGTAAAGAAAGAAGAGCCAGGATTCCTACACATTAAAAACAAAGTTGTGCCCTAACCGGTTTGGCTCAGTGGATCGAGCGTCGGCCTGCGGACTGAAAGGTCCCAGGTTCAATTCCAGCCAAGGGCATGTACCTTGGTTGCGGGCACATCCCCAGTAGGGAGTGTGCAAGAGGCAGCTGATCAATGTTTCTCTCTCACCGATGTTTCTAACTTTCTATCCCTCTCCCCTCCTCTCTGTAAAAAATCAATAAAATATATATTAAAAAAGTTGTTGGTGTGTTTCCAAAATGGCGGCAGCAATGGATGTGGATACCCAGAGTGGCACCAACAGCGGCGCAGGCAAGAAGCTCTTCAAGGTGAAAAAGTGGAACGCAGTAGCTCTCTGGGCCTGGGACATTGTGGTTGATAACTGTCATCTGCAGGAACCACATTATGATCTTTGCATAGAATGTCAGGCGAACCAGGCATCTGCCACTTCTGAAGAGTGCACCGTTGCGTGGGGAGTCTGTAATCGTGCTTTTCACTTCCACTGCATCTCTCGCTGGCTCAAAACACGGCTGGTGTGTCCGCTGGACAACAGAGTGGGAATTCCAAAAGTATGGGCACTAGAAAAAGAATATTCTCCATCAAGCTCAACTGTTTGTTATTCATTTAATGACTTGCCCTCCTGTTACTTAATTGTAAGTTAGATAGAACTGGGTCTTTTCTGCTTTATCTTTTCAGTTTTCTATTCCTGCAGTCCTATTGTGTGCCGTGTCAAATAAAACCCAGTTGGATTCTTAAAAAACAAACAAACAAAAAAACCAAAGTTGTTTTCTAAGGGGAGAAGGCAAGATCCTGGCTCAGTCTGGGCTGCAATTTGCCTCCTGACAAAGAGCAGAGTTTCTGGCTACGATTTGTTCTAGGGTCTGGAAAAAGCCTGTTTGAGTGAAACCTGAATGGATGGCAACTTTCCAAGCTGCAAAGCAGTGGAAGAAAAACCCTGGGCTCCCCAGCACACTCACTTCCCTGCAATCCCTGCTTCTTTATTTCACAGACCAGAAATGCTGGTGTAGAGTCTGCTTTGAATAGTTAGATGCAACATGGATAAATCTGGTGCCATGTCCTGGACTTGTTGGGAAGTGGACACATCCACTGAGATACCATTTTGTGGTTCCTCTTAACCCACAAAAATAACCACAGAAACAGCTGTAATCTACTGAATGTTGTCAGCCAAAAAAGAAATCTTTGCAGGGTATCTTTCAAGTTTTGTACTTCCTGTACCTTTCCCAGATTTCACTGTTAAGACCGAAGCTTTCTTCCAAGACTTGACTCTCGGAATTATTTTTGGAATGGAAAAGGTCATTTTTCATATTTTAAGAGTGTCCTGAAATAGTCCAGCTTGTTTCACATTCCCAGCCTGGCTCCCAGACATGCTAGAGTTGGGCTCTCCTGGCTTCCAGTCCAATAGTGCCTTAAAGGTGGACTTTAAAAAGTGTCCACACGACTGTAAAAAAGAAGGAACTCTTACCATTGGCAACAACATGGATGGACCTGGAGAGTATTTTGCTAAACGAAATAAAACAGTCAGACAAAATAAATATCATATGTGGAATCTAATGAATAAAATAAACTGATGAACAAAATAGATCCAGAGACATAGAAACTTGAAACAGATTAACAATTTCAGAGGGAAGGTTGGGGGGTGGGAGGATGGGTGGGGAGTGATTAACCCAGGAACTTACATTCATACTAGAGGCCTGGTGCATGACATTTGTGCACGACGGGGGGGGGTGTGTGAAGGCAAGATCTTGTGAAGGATCCCCCTTTTTTTTAATTAAATCTTTATTGTTCAGACTATTACATTTGAATATTATTTCTTTTGAATGCCCATGAACACTCATCAAGACAGACTATTATGCTATTCTCAAAAAAAGTCCACAAGATTAAAATCTTAGAGCATGCTCTCTTACAGAAATGGAATTAAGTTAAAAATCAACAAAAATAAGATACCTAAAAAGATATCCAATTCATGAACATAGGTTGTTTTATCATTTATTTATATCTTTCAATGTTTTGTAATTTTCAAAGTATACATTTTACGCTTCTATTGTTAAATTTATTCCTATATGTTTTGTTCTTTTGATGCTACTGTGAATGGAATTGTTTCCTTAATTTTATTTTTGGATTATTTTTTGCCAGTGC